CATTTCCTACACTGTAACCAAACACTTAATGTGGACTTTCTATGAAGATACATACAAGCACACAGACACACCAGGTGTACAGACTAACCTCAATTCACTCTGCAGCCAGTAATAACCTTGATTCCTGATTCTTCTGCCTCTACCTCCCTATTTTAGGTGGTATATTCTACCAACAAATCCCAGGCCCACCCCTTCCTACTTTCATTAGTTTTGTTTTTTGAGACAGGGTCTCATTCTGTTGCCCAGGCTGGCCTGGAACTTTCTACAATCCTCCTTCCTCTGCTTTCTCTGTCCTAGGATTAAGAGCAGGTGCCCTATTCATTCCCTCGCCCTATTTCTGAAAACTGCTTTACATATATGCTTTAAATGACCTGACCATTCTTACAAAACACTTCTGTCAATGCCGCACACAGCCCACTTCCTCGTCTGTGGTTCCTGTCTTCCCTTGCTGGAACCCTGTGAGACGCAGGGCCTTTCTGAGCCTGAGGGCACAACTCAGACCAAATTAATTTCTCTTAAGGGTCTAGATATGGAAGCTCCTTAGAGGTTTATCATGTTGTGTGTGTGTGTATTTGTGTGCGCGTGCCCGTGGAGGCCAGAAAGCAGGTGTTGGATCCCCTGGAACTGGTGTTATAGGTGATTGTGAGCCACCATGTTGGTGTTAGGAACAAAATTAACTGCTGAACCCTCTCTCCAGTCCCAACACATGGAAATAAAAGAAAAAGAAGGTTGGGGAGCAGAGACTTGAACTCACCTAAGCAGAAAATAGAAGAGCAATACGGAGAGAAGCTAAACACACACAGCTGTAGATTGGAGGAGTAAGCTGAAGAGCTCTGTGGTACAGCGTGACTATAACTGATAACAACAATGCTAGCTTTTGTTGTTTTTGAGAGACAGTCTCACTATGCAGACCAGGCTGGTACACTTACTTTGATTCTCCTGCCTCCTCCTGCTCCTCTGAGTTCTTGGATTGAAGGCCTTAATGACCACCCCTGGCTAGTTCTGACATTTTTTAATTTTATATTATTGGATCTATTTTACTTTTTAAAATGTGCTGTGTTTTCTCTGTGTCAGTGTGTGCACCACATATGTGCCTATGGATGGTTGTGAGTCATCACGTGGGTGCTGGGAACTGAACCCTGGGCCTCTGCAAGAACAGAAAGTGCTCTTTTTTAAAAAAAAATATTTATTTATTTATTTATTTATTATGTATACAATATTCTGTCTGCGTGTATGCCTGAAGGCCAGAAGAGGGCACCAGACCTCATTACAGATGGTTGTGAGCCACCATGTGGTTGCTGGGAATTGAACTCAGGACCCTTGGAAGAGCATCTTAACCGCTGAGCCATCTCTCCAGCCCCCAGAAAGTGCTCTTAACTGCTGAGCTATCTCTCTAGCTCCTAGCTTTAAACTGTTTAAAAGAGATTTTAAATGTTCTTAACACACACACACACACACACACACACACACACACTATGGGATGGAGAGATGGCTCAGCAGTACCTGGGTTCTAGTCCCAGCACCAACATGGCAGCTCATAAGCATCTGTGACTTATTCAGGAGATGCAATGCCCTCTTCTCGCTTCCCTGAACACTGGGCATATATAGGCAGAGTTTTTCTGTCCTGACCACCTGCTCCCAAATAACCAACATGAAGACTTATTGTTACTTATAAATGTTCGGCCAATAGCTTAGAATTATTACTAACTAGCTTTTACAACTTAACCCATTTCTATTAATTTATGTGTTGCCTTGAGGCTTGTGGCTTTTATCTCTGTCTCATTTTGTGTGTCTGACTAATTCTCCATGTAGCTGGTGACTTCTCTGACTCCATCCTTCTTCATTCCAGCATTCTGGCTGTCTCTGGCTGTCTCGCCCAATCACTTCCTGCAGACATCAGCCAATCAGCTTTTTATTAACAACAAGAGCAATGCATATTTACAGTGTACAAAAGAATTATTCCACAGTAGGCATACACATGCTGCACTTATATAGACACAAGCAAAACACTCGAACATAGCATAATGAAAGACCTTCGACCAGGACCTTTTTTCAGGAGGAGACCTCCCCAATGCCAAGGAACAGACCGAGACCGCACAGATGCAAATCACAAGAGGTTTATTGAGTAGACACAGGTACCTGCGGGCGGCAAGATCTCTTGGAAGACTTGCACGCCTGCCAACTGGAGGGCGGGCTTTTTATAGGGAAGAGCAAAAAGCAAGTTTACAGAAGCAAAATCGTGGTTATCGGAATGAGGCAGGGGGCATGAATGGTTTCCTCTCTCAGCATGGATGTCTGGCAACAGTCATCCTGTTCCTATCTTATAGATATCCTGTTTTGCAGTCAACCTGCTTTGTTGATGTCCTATCTTATTGATATCCTGCCTTGCAGTCTTCCTATCTCATAGACATCCTGCTCTCTCAAGCACATGGGATGTTCTTAAGCAAACAGGACGTTCCCCCGGGAGCATGCTAGCTGCAGGTTTTGAGGAGGGGGTCTGTAGGGTCTTTCAGTATGTTTTATATATAAACCCAGAAAACACACAAGGACACTCTTAAAGCTGAAAAGAAAGTCTTTGTTGTGGGCCAGAGTCTGAATGGTGAATTTGACCAAATTACACAGCCCCAAGTCTCACATTTTGTCTTTCGTTTTGGTTTGGTTTTGTTTTGTTTTTCAGGACAGGCTTTTTCTGTGTGTCCCTGGTTATCCTAGAACTAGTTCTGTAGAACAGGATGGCCTTAAACTCAAAGTAAACTCTGCCTGCCTCTGCCTCCTGAGTTATGGGATTAAAAGCATAGTTCCACCACCACCCAGCCAGATCTTTTTCTTTTATGCATAAAACACACCCTGGTTGACACACTTCAGTTAGCGAGAACAGCAAGAAGCACTTTTACAGAAGTGAAAAAGCTCTTAGTACATGCAGGGACTTTCCTGGATCCTCATCTATGGACTGGGGTTTTGATGGGTTATGTCTTTGTCTTTCTTCCCATTTTGGCAGGTGTTGGGGGCCTCTGTGTTATAAGGTCAGAATGATGCTTTCAACATGGTGTTAGTTCTGCTAAGGTCTGGGGTCCTATTGCATATATATTGTATTAGTCAGGGTACAGCACCGATAGAATGAATATATAAAGGGGATTGATTATTAGAGTGCTCACAGGCTGTGGTCCAGCTACTCCAACAATGGCTGTCTGCCAATGGAAAGTCCAAGAATCCAGTAGTTGGTCAGTGCATAAGGCTGGACGTCTTAGCTGGTCTCCAGTCCACACTAGAATCCTAAAGAAATAGACTCCAATGCCAGTGAAGGAATGGGCTTGCCAGCAAGCGGGCAAGCAGACAGAGAGAGCTCTTGAAGGGACTCTAGCCAGTCTGACCATGGCAAATATGGCTCTGGCAGAACTTGCCCTGTTCCCCCCCATTCCTTCTGCCTTGATAAAAACTGTTAGATTACATTCCTAAAGCTAGCCACAAAGGTCTATTCCCTTAGGCACTTTCTCCTCCTGAGACTGACTATCAAGGTCCAGCTATCAAAAAGTATTGAAATCCAGCAATCAGAAGTCCCCTTTGGCTACCATAATTTAAATCCAATTAAAACACCTCGTCCTAACATGAGTTTTTTTTTTTAACTTTATAAACTGCCATTTGCCTATTTTCCCTCAGGACAAACACTCTTCACCCTTTCCCTTGTCCCCCATCTCCTTACCACCACATCCTAGCTCATTCTATCACAGACCTCCCCTTTTTCTCTTCTTAAAAATTACATCTGCGTGAGCAGTGGTGGCACACGCATTTAATCCCAGCACTTGAGGCAGAGGCAGGCGGATCTCTGTGAGTTCGAGGCCAGCCTGGTCTACAGAGTGAGCTCCAGGACAGTGAGGGCTGTTACACATAAAAGTCCTGTCTCGAAAAAAAATTACATCTGCAAGGTCATTTGCTGTTTTCTGCCTGAGTCAGAAAGCAAACACTTTAACTTTTCTTCCCCGCTCAATAAAGAATCTCTCTGTGAAAATGTGTGTTTGGGTGTGGTCTGTGCCTAATCAGGGGTCCGGGAGGAAGTCCCTGCTGTGCAGGAGTCCCCTTCGGCGTGTTCTTCTTCTACTTACTTGTATATAAACTATCAGCAAAAGGTGTGGCCCAGATTAAAAGCAGATCTTCCATCTCAAATGATCTGGTTTAAAGGTGGATCTTCCCACTTTAAATAATTTAATTAAGAAAATAATTCCTCACAAGTGTGCCCAGTTGGATTTTAGTTAATTCTAGATGGAATCAAGTTGATGACCAAGAAACTGGTCCAGGAACGGCGGCTCAGGTCTGTTGCTCAGTACTAAGGCAGGAAGACCAGTAAAGTCACAAGCTTCAGGCCAGACCCTGTCCCGAGCCGCAGTAGAGGGTCCACTCCCTGGACACACAGCGGAAAGAGCAAACCTACATTGCCCTCTCACTCCACTTGCTCACCACAGCACACAGATAAATTTATCCTCCAAAACATTGCCAAAGAAAACAAAAATCCCCGCACATTTATGATCCCAGTAGTTGAGAAATAAGGTTGTTAGGTGTGGCAGAGATCCGCCTGCCTCTGCTTCCCGAGTGTGGGATGAAAGGCGTGCACTAACAGGGGCGGTGGTGCACGCCTTTAATCCCAGCACTCGGGAGGCAGAGGCAGGCGGATCTCTGTGAGTTCGAGTCCAGCCTGGTCTACAAGAGCTAGTTCCAGGACAGGCTCCAACATTACTGAGAAACCCTGTCTCGAAAAACCAAAAAACAAAACAACAACAAAAAAAGGAGTGCACTAACATCACCTGGCTTTAAATGTAATTTCCTAATTAGAAAAAAATATAGTAATTAAGACTTCAAATTCCACAAAGCTAAAGAGGATGTCCACAAAGCCGGAAGTCGACCCTCAAACACAACGCACGCGCGTGAGCGGGTGTGAGACCGGAAGTATGCCGGAGCTCTAAGACCTAAGTACGCTTACGTCTCGCCTACTCGACCAATCAGAAGAAAGCGAGGCGGGTGTCGGGAGGAAATACCGTTTACAAACAGGAAGTGTGCGGAGGTTTCGCGGGCGGCGGGCGAGCCCCATGGAGGCCTACGAGCAGGTCCAGAAGGGCCCCCTGAAGCTGAAAGGCGTCGCGGAACTGGGCGTGACGAAGCGGTGAGGCCCGGGAGCCCGCGGTCTGTCCCCGAGGGCCGACCCCGGGCTCCGGCCACTTACCGGCCCCTTCTCCCCCAGGAAGAAGAAGAAAAAGGACAAAGACAAGGCCAAGCTGCTGGAGGCCATGGGGACGAGTAAGAAGAGCGAGGAGGAGAAGAGGCGCTGCCTGGACAAGCGCACGCCGGCGCAGGCGGCCTTCGAGAAGATGCAGGAGAAACGGGTGAGGCCGGCGGCGGGGACCGCGGAGGGCGGGCGGCCCCCGGAGTCGCCATGTAGCCCAGGCCTTCCCCAACTCCCCGTGTAGCCCAGGCCTTCCCCAACTCCCCGTGTAGCCCAGGTCCTTCCCCCATCTCTCCCTGTATCCTGGGCTTGTGGCCCTGCCTAACCTAGCTTTCCTGTGTACTAGGATGACAGGCAAGTGTCACCACTTTACACCTGCTGTTAACAACATTCATTGCTCTTAGGGTACCACAAAGTCTGCTTCCATAACAACTTGCTTTCTATCTTCAAATGGGCTTTGTAGTTGTTTGGAGGTGGGGAGGTGACCTTGAACTCCTGCCTCACCTGGTTCCTGAAAGGAATGCTGTGGCCCACGGGGCCACACTGGTTATTTTGGGTGTTTTTGAGGCACCATTTGTCTCTAGCCTAGGCTGTCCTCAGACTCATCCTGTAGACAAGGATGACCTCAGACGTGCTTGTTGGGATGACAGCACCCAACACCCTGTCTTCTTTAAACATTAGAGATCCTGAGAGAGAGGAGAGGCCAGTAAGACAGGCTCAGCCTGCTAGGCTTAGACGGAAAATAAGCCTAGGTGTGTGGCTCCTGCTTTGCCATGTAGGATTCCCCGGGACCCAGTGCATACCTCAGCCCAGCCATACCCTGCCAGGTCTGTTGTTCTTCTCTGAAGGCAGTCCCTCTCTCCTCAGATGAGGCTCTGAAGGTGTTTGGACTCCCTCTGTAGCACAGAGTGAGAAGAAACCAGGGCAACTGGTACACTTACTTCTACAGAGAAAGAGATGGTTTTCTCCCATGTATCAGGCTGAGGCTGAGCATCACCAGCCTGGTGTCTTGTGCACTGGCTCTGAACAAAATGCAGGCATCACTCGGGTCTAATTTCCGTGCACATGGGGCTGCAGGGTAGGCCCGGGGCTGGCACTGTCTGCTGATTCCGAGAGGAATAGCCGATTTTCATCCACTTAGAGGATGGCTGAAGTCACTCTTGCGGGGGAGTGGTGAGAACTGAGGGTGAGCAGCTGGTGCAGCCAAGGGTGATGGTGATTAACGATGGTTGGCCTGGGGAGGAAGGAAGGATGGCTAGTTAGATCCTTTGTGGGGACGAAGGCAGCGGTGGGATGGGGAATAGAAAGCATCTTGGAGCCAGGAGTGGTGGGCGTTGTGAGTTCCAGCCAGTGTAGGCTGCAGGATGAGACCCTTTGTTCAGAGAGCAAAAGTGGTGGCTTTTGGAGGACATGTGTGCACTCCCTTCGGATACATCTACCTCAGACATCGTTAGTCGATCCCCACATTCTCTGTAATAGAATCCAGTTATACCACCACATTTTTAAGACTTATTTATTGTTACCAGTGTATGTACTCGAGTGCCATAGTATATTCATGGAGGTCGGAGGACAACTTGTGGGAGGCAGGTCACTCTTTCCTTGTGAGGGTCCCAGGATCAAACTCAGGTTGTCCAGTTTGGCGGCCAGCAACTTTACCCACTGAGCCATCTCACCAGCCACAATCTGCTTCTTATTCTTCAGCCCGAGACTTTGTGTATTCAGACTTGGGTCCTCATTCCGTATTTTGGCCTGAGGACAAGAAATGGGGGATAGGAGCAGGACAGACGCTGGACAGACAGACACGGGTGAGATGGGGTAGGAGGTGCAGGAGAGTCTCTGAGCCATGAAGACGGAACAAAAAAGAACGGGCTGAGTGGCGGTGCCCACACCTTTAATCATAGCACTCTGGAGGCAGAAGCAGATGAAGCTCAATGAGTTCAAGGCTAGCCTGATCTATAGAGCAAGTTCCAGGACAGCCAGGGCTACACAGAGAAACCCTGTCTCAAAAAACCTAAATAAACAAAGAACAGAAGAGGACTGGCCCTCAGGGCAAGGAGCTTGTATTCAAATTGCAACCTGTTCTGTTTGCGTGGAAGAGAGGTGACTGTGATAAGAGGTGAGGTGGGAGGACATGGATCAAGGTGATGACCAGATTGCTAGGCCGCCCCTTTGGGTGGAGTGGGTCAGCTGCAGATAAGGGGGGCAGCAGATGGAGGGGCCCGGGCTCTGCGTCTTCTGCCTTGTTCCCAGTTCCGCAGTCTGGTCCTCATCTTCACTTAAAAAACACACAAGCAAAACCCAGCAAATATATATAGTATGTATTGGTTTTTGTCAGTGCAGTGCCCAAGGAGGCCAGAAGAGGGCAGCAGGTTCCCCCAGGGCTGGAATTATAGATGATTCTGAGCTGCTGTGTGGGTGCTTGGAACTGAACTGGTCCTATGGAAAACCTGCCAGTGCTTTTAACTGAGTGTCCACTGAACATTTAAACACTGTCCCCATCTTCATGTTTCTAAAAACCTCTTTTGTGTGCTCAAGACATTCAGAAGACAATAGAGGAGTTGGTTCTCCCTCCCACCATGTCGGTCCCAGGGATTGAACTCCAGGCGCCTTTGCTTTCTAAGCCATTTTCTGGCCCTTGTCCTCATGTTTGAAATGGGATCCTCTGATCCTCCTGCTTCAGGCCTCCCGTATACCCACCACACCCAGAATAGGTCTTTCTTTTCTGTTTTTGAAAATAACCTGAAGTATTTGGACTTGTGGGGTGCAGTGTTATATGTGATACCCATGTGCCGGGCAAACCCAGGAGGGCACCGTCTCCATCTAGTGAAGGGCTTTGATTATGTGTTGACTCCTCCAGCTGGCCACAGTTCCGGAGATGTGTGGTCTCTCCGCTGTGCCGTGGGACTTGGCACAGCCTGCCCCTTTGCTGTCTTGCTAGCCCCATGCTCTTTGTCTCCCCTCGCCAGTCGTGTTCTCTGGTCTAACCTGTACCTGAATGGAGTCACTGTTTAGCATCTACAACTGAATGACGACGTGGGCTGACTGGCTATGGTCTTGTGGCTCTCTGAGCTCCCTAACTGACATCTTAACACAAGCTAGGATGGTGGAAGGAGTCTCAGTGAAGGACTGTCTTGATTTGCACTGGGATGGGAAGACCGGCCATCCTTGCCCATCATGCACAGCACCAGTTTCTGGTGTGAGACGTCTGTGTTTATGTGTACAAGTGTCATGCTGCCAGAGGAGACTGAAAAGGGTGGAGGATCCCTGATCCTGGACTTAGAGAAAATTGCTAGCCGCCGTCTTGGTGCTGACTCTGAAAGAGAGCAGGTGCTCTTCACCACTGAACTGAAGCTCTTTAGTGCCAGGGTTTGAGTTTTGAACTGTAAGAGCAGAGAAAACTGAGCGTGAAGCTTGCTCCTATCCATTTCTCTATGCGCTTGCCTGACTTGTGGCCCTAAGACTGCCTTCCCTTTCCCCCCATGGTGGCCTGTGACCTGAAATAGCAAGCCAAATAACTTTGTCCCCCAAGTTTACTTTTTTGCCTGGGTATTTTGTTTTGGTAACAGAAATGAAAAGTGGGACACTGAACATTCATTTGGGTCCTGTCCCCTCAGTTCCTCCTCCCTAGGGCCTCTTGCTTCATGTTCTCTGCTTCTTCGTTTCCTTCCTTCCAGCCCAGGGTTTCACCATGGCCCAAGGCAAAACAAAGCCAGTGCCCAACTTCTGGCAGGATCTGCCTATAAGGGATGCTGGGGTTACAGGGAGACTAAACAGGGGCCCCTCCTGAGTGAGGTGGCAGGAGAGAGACAGCTATAGACTGTGTTGGGCATGGGAACTCATCCCAGTCTCTTCTCTCTCCAGCAAATGGAAAGAATCCTGAAGAAGGCGTCCAAAACCCATAAGCAGAGAGTGGAGGTGAGCCCTGCACCTGTGGGGAGCCTGAGCCCAGGGCAGTGCGGCTTGGACAGTTGGAGCATACCCTCAGGCGTGGTGCTTCCCCAGGCTCATTTGGGGTGATTGGAGACCTGTGGTGGAGTGTGTGAGACGGGCTGGGCACAGATGGGGGCACTGCCTACCTGGTTCACGCTGATGTGGCCTCTCTTTCACAGGACTTCAACCGACACCTGGACACACTCACCGAGCACTATGACATTCCTAAAGTCAGCTGGACCAAGTAACTTGCCCCGGTGCAAAAGACAGGTCAGGCTGGCTGTTTTGCTCACCTCGGTGTTTTCTAGAATGCCCTACACCTGCCTGGTACATCTGCTGAAACCAGACTTTTCTGAAACTTGATTAAAGTCAGGCTGTCCTTTCACCGGGTGTACCCTTTTCTATTTGAACTGCAACATTGTGCTTTGACAGGCTCGGGTCTTTTCTGGGTTAGGCCCATGGAAGGAGGGTACCCTTCCCACCCTGATTGTGGCATCTGTCTTCATCTGCACCATAATGCCAGGACAGGAAGCTCCTACCTGTGGCCCACCACACAAGTTTCCACAGTGCTGCTGCTTTTGGGCCACCTGGACATCAGACCACACAGCCTACATTGAGCAACAGCCACCTGAAGCAAGGATGGGACACAGGTCTCCAGCACATACCCTGCCCCTCAATCCACCTGGTGGTTGCCATTGCAGACATTGCTAATCAATCCAGTTTTCAATGATGGCACCTGGGGCTCCAAGCATATGGCACATGTCATAAGCCTGCTTGGTATTCCTGGCTTAAGGACACCAAATACCAGACAATGCCAGGGCAAAGTGCCAGCAGACCTGGTGTGGTGGGAGGGCCCTGTTGCAGATTCTGTAGAGCTTCGTCATCTGAGAGTCTAGGTGGACCTCTTGGAGAACCTGTGCACACACTGGAGAGAAGCAACTTCTGTTACCATGGATACTGAAAGGCTACCAGGAATTCCTGGAGCTGGCATGTAGAATAAAGCAAGTGTCAGTCATGAAGTGGAGTCAGTATGTCTGTGCATGCTGTTCACCACAGGGACACCTTTCGATTCTGCCCTGTGAAGAAGGCACAGCACGAAACTGCTCATGGGGGAAATGAGATGCTTCTGTTTTTTTAATGATGTGTGTGTGTTACAATATGTGTTGTGTATGCACACGTGTAGAGAACAGCTTGAAGAATTGTCTCTGTCCTTCTAACATGTGGATCCTGGGGGGATTGGATCTCTCAGGTTGTGAGACTTGGCTGTTGGTGTCTTTACCCACTGATAAATCATATAACGCTCACAGTCCAGTTGACACATTTATTCTACCTGTGTTCCTGACTGAGGGAGATGCATATAGGGTGTACGTGCCTTGTCTCAAGTGTTTAGGACCATTTTGGATTTGGAATTTTTCTGGATTTAGGCAACACTGATTCTGTGATATGTAATGAGATATTGCAGTGATGTCACAGGTTTGCATCCATTTCATTTCTTTTTTTTTTGTACCTATGCATATAGCCTGAGGTCATTTTATATGAATTTTTCTGTCTTTGAACATAGTATACAAAATACACAGTCTTGAAGAATTTTGTGCATGAGACAATTTAGTGGTGTGAGATTTAGTTATTTGGTTTTTGTTGTTTTGACGTATGGGGGGTGTTGAGACTGGGTCTCACTGTGCATGCAACCTTGATTGGTCTGGAATACTCTAGAACCTCTAGAGTGGTAGGATTGAAGGTGTGCACCACATGCCCTTTTTTGCTGGCTTTTCCTAGGTTCTGTAGCCCAGGCTACAAACCTGCAGCCTACCAGGAGTTTGGCAGGGTGGCTCAGCAGATAAAGGCTCTTGCCCCCAAGCCTGAAGACTTGTGTTTGAGTCCCAGCATCCACATGGTGGAAGGAAAGAACTGATTTCCACGCGTTGTTTTCTGAACTCCACATGCTCACACACAATAAATGTTTAAAAAATAAAGAAGGGAGTAATAAGGAAATAAGCTAGAATGATCAAAATGTAAAAATATGAAATTGACAACGGACATATTAAATTTTTTTGGTTTTGATTTTTTGAGACTTTTTCTGTGTAGCTTTGGAGTCTGTCCTGGAACTTGTTCTGTAGAACCAGTCTGGTCTCAGACTCACAGAGATCCTTCAACCTCTGCCTCCCAAGTGCTGGGATAAAAGGCGTGCGCCACCACCAGCAACTAAATTTTAAAAAAAAATTTAAACTTTGTCTTACTATATGTAACTCTGACTGGTCTGGGACACAGAGATCTGCCTGCCTCTGCCTTCCAAGTGCTGGGATTGAAGGTACACGCTACCATGCCTCACTAAAACATTACTTAAAAAACAACTTATTTAAAATTGTCCATGTTCAGGCCCGTGTAGAGTGCAGGTGTTCACAGAGGCATCAGATCACCTGGAACTGGAGTATGTGAGTGTTGGGAACAAAGAGGTCTTGGTGGTTAAGAGTGAATTCTTCTCCAGTCGTGAAATTACTTTTTAAAACCTGAAGGGGGGCTGCAAGTAAAAAGACTGCTGCCGAAACTGATGACCCGAGTGTGATCTCTGGGACCCACGTGCTGAAAGGAGAAAACTGACCCTTGCAAGTTGTCCTCTGACCTCCCGGTGTGTATAAGAACTTACACACACAAAGAAGAAACCCACGGGGGGGGGGGGGGTTGGTGCTGGTTTGATCTCCCGACGGGGGAGGGACACTTAAGAATGACAGAGTTAAAAGGAAATGGGGTCATCGTCATACTCTGCACAAGGCACAGTGGCTGAGTAACACAGGTGCTAGTCACCTGGGTTCACTGGGGCTCGATAGGGTGGAGCAGTCATTGACAGGTTGACACTGGCAGGTGACCGCTGATAACGTTTGATTGCCTTTCAGAGAGTGACTTCCTTTAGTCGCCACCTTACAGTGAATCACAGCTGGTGGCCGGATACTAGTTTACTAGACTTGTGCCGAAGGCAAGGCCGACCTCCCACAGCAGCGGGTGTAAAAGCGTCCACCTTCCTTCCAGCCTGCCGGCCACTGGAGTGATGATACAATTGCCCCGCCCGGGCCCCTCCTGCCAGGGAGGCTCCGCCCGCTAGACTTACTTCCGGTCCGTTTGGGCTTTGGATAAAAAATACTGCCACAAAGTTCGTACTGCGCCTGCACCTATTCTTTTGTGCACCTGCGCACTCGCTGCTTGCCCCTCAGACCGGACATAACGGTCCGCGCGCTGCTTCATGGACCGGAAGTGGGGGGAAGTGTCGCGGGGCGCGCCGGGCCTTGCTGAACGCCGGCAGTTCCTGCCGTTGCCGCCGCCCTCGGCTATTGCCGAGGCCTTCCAAAGCAGCCATGTCCGCCAGCGCCGTCTACGTACTGGACCTGAAAGGCAAGGTACTGAAGGGCTCTCCACCCTCTCCGTTGCCAGGCAACAGCGAGGCCCTCGCCCTGTCGGGACCCACCCTGTTGCTAGGTAACTGGACGGCCAGCTCTTCCAGGGCGTCAGGCAGGCGGGGCAGCCTCGCTTGCCGGTCCGCCCTGTTGCTAGGAAACAGCCGGTGGTCTTTGCGAGTCCCGCCCCATCTCTAGCTAACTTGGTGGGCTGTGGTTGCTAGGTAACCGTCCGCTTTGCCCCTTTCCCGCCTCGTGCGCCCGGTTACTGGATTTGGCCTCTGCCATCGACCGGAAGCTGAGGACCCCGCGCCCCCAGACCGGGCGACCCTTGGCCGGAGGCGTGGCTGGAACTGTGTCCTCAGGTCGTCCCCGCCCTCCGCAGCGTGCAGGCTTCAGCTCTTTCTCCCTAGAGTAGCAGTGCTTCCTGTGACTTTGAGTTAAGAGAAACGGGTGATGTGATAGGAATGCGGTTTTACCAAGGGGGAAACAGACCGCCCACAGCCCCACTGTTTATTGGGAAGTAGCCGTCTGAAAGTCCCATCGCAAGCATCCTTGCTTTCAGCTGATGCTTTCGGAGAAACCAGGCAGGGTGCTAAGCCTGGTGGGCAAGAATCCGTTACGGCTAAGCTCAGTCACTTGGAAAAGCACAGATAAATAAATGACTGTTGGAACCATGTGTTCATAAAGGACTGGCAGCCCCAGCTGGGGGTCAGAAAGAGCTTTCCTGACTGGGGAAAAACAAGACTGCTGAGACTTTAAGGCCCTGGACAGAAACAGGACCCATCTTCCCGAGGGGAATCTGAGAAAGAAAACTTCATTCATGTGTGTTTGTGCGGGTTTGCCCATGGGGGGGGGGAGGGAAGGAGACCCTACTACCCTTCCATGGGCTCTTGTAATCAAACCCAGTCAATAGACCAATTCAGCAGGACCTGCCTGGCCTTTAAGCCACATGGATCTGCCTATCTGTACTTCCCAGACGCACCTGGCTAACCCCCACCTCTTGGTTTTATAAGACAAGTTTCTTTGTGTAGCCCAGGCTGTCCTGAGCACACTGTAGATCAGGCTGGCATTCGCCTCAGATAGGCTTGCCTCTGCCTCAGGAGTTGAAGGTGTCATGCACCTGGCTGTTTTGCGTGGGATCTGGGTATGGCTCATTTATGGTTTTGTGACACTGAGGACATAACCCAGTGCCTTGCGTCTCTTCAACGAGTGCTCTGCCAGGGACCACAGTGTGCCCAGTGCAAAAGCCTCTCACAGAAATGTATGTTCAGCCTTCAGAAATGGGCCATCACTGTCCATCAGTCCGCCAAGGTCGAAAGCAGGTGACCAGCCTCTTAGGTTTGGGAGCTACCAGAACAGGTCCAGCCACAGTAGACACATTCAGCATTCATTGGTGAGAGAACATTGGTGTCCAGCCACTTGGAAGAGCTGAGGTGTTCAGAAGTAAAGAGGTGGAGTGCCCCAGCCCCAGCGTTTTCCTTAGCCCTTGAGTGTGTGCCTGCCTTGGATGCCACCCAAGGTCAACAACAACTGGAGTCCCAGAAGTCCCAGATCTGGACTGCCTCCACAGCCTTCTGGGAACCTGGGGAGGCACAGCATTCCCTAGGCTGTATGGCACATGCTCTGCCTTCTGCCCTGTCCTAGAGGCACAGTGGGCTGCCTGGCATGGCTTGCTTGTTCCTTTAGCCAACACCTCATTGACACCTAGCAGGCTGAAGCTGTAAAGCTAGACTCGTGTATGGACTCAGTCCATTTCTGCAGCTGAAGTGTGTGACCATAGACAAACCCATGGCCTCTCTGAGCTTTGTCTTCCTGGCTGATCCAAAGAGTCTTATCTAGGTTACTATAGGTATGATTCAGGCCTGACCCTGCGCAAGGCTTACAGAGTGTGGTATTTAGGCTTAGCAGGAAACAGACCAGCAGCCAAAGGGTTGCTTACCTTCTGTTTGGCAGTCAGAGAAATTACAAAAGACTTCCAGGCAGAGCTGGGCACCTG